CCCCGCCCCCGCGTGTCTAGCCAGATAGCCTGAAGCGGGACACCCAGCATCCCCCCCGCCCTTCCTCCTCCTCCTCCTGGGGGGGGGGGAGCAAGTTTGTTCACTTACCTCTGTCTGTTTCCATTTATATTCCGCCCTCCCCACAAGTGGGCTCAAGGCGGGTCACAGGAGAAGTTCTGAAACACACCAAATACATACGTCAGTAAGATAATTAAAACCGTTGTAAAGCAACATAATTGAACACAGGTTACACTGTTTATGCGCACAGTCTCCAAGCTGGTGCCGCTGGGTCTCTAAAACCTCCTTCATCTGGGCCGCGTAGAGGTGGTAGAACTTCAGCAGGGGAGGCCAGGTTTTTATTGGCTGTCTGCTGCCTCACCCAAAGTCCTGGAGGAACAGCTTTTGTTCTACAAGCCCTGTGGAGTAGTGATAAGTCCTCCGGGGCCCTGGTCTCAGGCGGGAGCGTGTTCTACCAGGCCGGGGGAGGAAGAAGCCCTGGCCCTGACCGAGGCTAAGCAGATGATGTCCCCCTCGGGCTGGGGACAGCCAGCAGATCCCGATCGGCAGAGCGCAAGGCTCTCTGGGGCACCCGTGGGGGGGGGGAGGCAGTCCCTCGGGGACGTCGGTCACTCCCAGGCCGTGCAAGGCTTAAAGGTCTATACCAACACCTTGAAACTGTTCTGGTACTCAGTCAGTAGCCAGTGCAATCGGTGTAGCACTGGCCGAATGTGCGCCTGCACAGAAGATGCAGTCAGCAGGTGCGCCGCTGCATTTTGTACTAGCTGGAGTTTCTGGATCAGCCACAAGGGCAAGCCCGCATAAAGCGAGTTACAGTAATCAAGCCGGGAAGTGGCCATTGCATGGGTCACTGTAACCAAGTCCTGGGGGGAGAGGTAGGGAGCCAAATTGTCCAGGGCGGAATCCAGGCAGCCATCTATCAACAGATAGAGCTGGGTGTCGCTTCCGGTTGTCAGCGAGCTGCCATCTTCTTGGGACAAGCCTCGTCCCTTTCCTCACCTCGGTAACTTTCTGCCGGGCAACTCCGGGGTCGTTCGGGACAATATCCAGGTTCGAACATACTCTCCCAGAGGCCGCTCCCATGCTGGGCAAACGTCTCTTTTGCGCCCTGGTCCAATCTTCCGAGGCTCTAACCTCCCGCTTGCCCCAGTGTGATGGAGTAGGGGGCGGCCAAGGAACAGTCTCATGCTGCGGGATCGCTCCCCCAACGGCTCCACCGGCCTGCATCAGGTCCGATGTTGAGGCAGAGACCGGGATGGTGTCTCGGTCCCCTGCTCGAAATGGAGGTTTCCCTTCGGCCCCGCTCATGACAGACGCCAGACTCGGGGTGAGGGGGAAAATAGGATTCCAAACAAAAATGTTAGATCCCAAATCAGGAGAATAGACCCACGTTCAAAAAGAAGTAAGATTTATTTCCAAAGCTTGGTTGATCACGAACATACAGAGATTGTTTGGAATAACTACAAGAGTCAGGGGAAGGTGTATTAAAGTAACTTCAAACAAGGTTTAAACCAATGAGCTCATTTCCCTCGTACGGTTACAGATTAGGAAAGGCGCGAAGCGGCCTGAGAACAGCAACGGCCCATTCCATAAACACTTGTTGAGTTCACACAGGAAATCTAAACAAGCCAGAGCATAAAGACATAACACCACCTCGCACCAGCTGGAGAACCTTGGCGGTTACAGAAGCACAACATGAGAAGGATAACAA